TATATATATATATGGATATATATAATCACTAGTGGACGCCGGTTTCGCGTAGCAGCAACACCTGCTGCTGCTGCTGCTGCTGCTGGTGCTGCTGCAGCACTTTACCTGTAAGCAGCAACGCATGCATCCTCTCCCTGTGCATAGAAACGAAGAGCATCACCAAGCCGAGTGCCGCTGAGGCGGCAGAAGCGCAGCACGCAGCCACGGGCCCAGGCAAAGCCGGGGGAGAGCTCGCCCCCATAGAAAGGAGATTCACCCAGACAGAAAGAGCCGTCGTTGCTGCTGCTGCTGCTGCTGCTGCTGCTGCTGCTGTTGGTGGTGATGGTTGTGTTGCTGTTGGTGTTGGTGTGCTGCTGCTGCTGCTGCTGCTGCTGCTCTTGTTGCGACATTTGCTCTTCCTGCTGTTCTTCTTCTCGCTGCTGCTCCTGCTGCAGCAGCAGCTGCTGCTGCTGCTGCTGCTGCTTGGCTGCATTTCTCCAGGTATAGGGAACGGATAAATCCGCAGAGGCGGTGAAGGAGGAGACAGGGCTGTAGGGGTGGGCTGTCTCCTTGGTGAGCGCATGCAGCAGCAGGCTGGGGTTGAGGAAGCCCTGGCGGGAGAGGCTGATGGGGTCGACCCCCACAAGCGGCGGCGCTGAGCTGCTGCTGCTGCTGCTGCTGCTGCTGCGGTGCAGCAGCACCTGACCACTGGTCCGCCCGTTCAGCGTCTCCTTCAAGACCAGTGGTCTAGGCGGGGGACGTGCATGCGGATGCAGCAGCTCAGATGCTACCTGCCGCAGCACAGACCGTGCAGCTTCCGGGGCAGTCAGCTGCTCTGTCTCTTCCTCGTATTCTTCTCCCTCACCACCACCAGCACCACCAGCAGCAGCAGCAGCAGCTGCTGCTGCTGCTGCTGCTGCTGCTGCTGGTTCTTCTGTCTCCTTTTGTCTCTCCTGTGCCTCAGCAAGCGCGGTGAAGGCCTTAAACTCTGACACAAAGTGCAGCTCCAGCAGCCCCACAGACATCAGCCCCAGCATGCAGAGGCTCCTCAGCTGTATCAGCAGCTCAGCACCCAGGCGCAGCTGCGGCAGCGAGCGGGGAACAACCGCCCAGTACCGGGCCTGCTGCTGCTGCTGCTGCTGCTGCTGCTGCAGCTGCTGCAGCTGCTGGTGTAGCTCGTGTAGCTGGTGGAACCCTTGCTCCTGCTGCAGTTGGTGCAGCAGCTCCTGCTGCTCCTGCTGCTGCTGCTGCTGCTGCTGCTGTTCTGCTGCGTCTGCTGCATGCAAGACACGCACCAGCAGCTCCGCCACTACAGGGCGCAGAGAAGGGCGAGCCCTGAGGATGTCAGCGAGGGTGCGCAGCAGCTGCGGCCAGAGGGGCAGTGCTGCTCTGGGTTGCTGCAGCAGCAGCTGCAGCAGCAAGTTCTGTGCTTCTGTTGCTGCTTCCCATTGACAGCAACGAACTGCTGCTGCGAGGCCCTGCCGCTGCTGCGTGTCTACAGGCAGCAGCACCTGCAGCAGCGGCTGCTGCAGCAGCGCTATCCTTGTGGTGTCAGTACAAAGCCTACGAACTGTTTCTTCTTGCTGCTGCTGCGTCTCCTCCTCTGCTGCTGCTGCTGCTGTTCCTGCTGCTGCTGCTGCTGCTGTTGCTGCTGCTGCTGCTGTTGCTGCTGCTGCTGGGGGAGAGCTTGATGGGTGAGGGGGGGGCACCGGGCACACACAGTCGCTGGGGTCGGCGAAGAGGTAGCTGTGTAGCTGCTGCAGCGTGGCTGGCAGCAGCAGCTCCAGGTGTCTATTGAGGTGCGAAGCAAAGAAGACAGCCATGTCTTTACGGCCAGCAGCAGCACCACTAACAGCAACAAACCGAGGGGGGCTTGCTGCTGCAGCAGCAGAAACTAAACGCCAATAATACACATCTCCATTCACACATATAGTACCCTTGAACCGGAGAACCCCTCCCCCAGCAACCCGGTGTATATCTACATACCATCGATCCTCCTCGCTGCTGCCGCTGCTGCTGCTGCTGCTGCTGCTGCTGCTGCTGCTGGGGGGGGGAGCTGCAGCAGCAACTCCCCTCGGGGGAGACGGAGAACGCCGCGCTGGCTCTGTCTTCGCGCTGCCCCGCCAGTGACCCCGTATATAACTGCTGACGAGAAGAGGCTCAGCAGAAGCAAACAGCTGCCCATCCTCTACCCCCAACCTAGCAGCACTGCCGCCGCTGCTGCTGCTGCTGCTGCTGCTGCTGCTGCTGCTGCTGCTGCTGCTGCTGCTGGTGGTGGTGGTAGGAGGAGTATCCTTGAACCTGGCCTGTATAACTAGGGGCCATACATTTTCATCGGCAATAAGTATAAGAGTAAGGAAGCTTGCGTGGGGGCCCCTGACCCCCTCTATATGCAGTGTCTCAGCATCTTTATAATAAAGAGGAAAGAAGCGCGTACAGCTGAGCCGTGTCAGTTGCTGCCTGCTGAGTGTGGGGATAGATGCAGGGGCCTCGATAGCTTGTATAACAGCTGGGTTCCCGTTGGGGGGCTGAGGAGATACTAGGTTGCTGGGGAGACACAGCAACACACCTGCTGCTGCTGCTGCTGCTGCTGCACCACCCTGCTGCCGTCCTGATACTAACTCCTCTACCCTCTCATCAGGAGGAGGCAAAGGCCGCAACGCGTCAGCACGAAGAGCACCCCATAGACTTGATGCAGTGAACCCACTGCTGCTGCTGCTGCTGCTGCTGCTGCTGCTGCTGCTGGTGCTGGTGCTGCTGCTGGTGTTTATGCTGCTGCTGGTAGGGTTCGGTGGGTGTGTGTCGGGTTTCGAGGGAGGGGTTTCTCGTGCAGCAGCAGCAGCAGCTGCAGCAGCAGAAGCAACAGCAACAACAGCAGCAGCAGCAGCAGGTTGCTGCCATACAAACAAACCCTTCTGTATGCTGGGGGGGTCCTCAGGCAGCAGCAGCGTGCGGCTGCCGTCGGCGCGCCAGACTGCCTTTCTTCTGTTTAGTATAGCTTTGTATATGTGACAAGCCTGGCAATAGTCAAAGTCATCCAGTCTGCAGAGAGACAGAGAAAGGAGAGAGAAAGGGGAGAGATGAGGGGAGAGAAAGGGGAGAGAAGAGGGGGTAGAGGAGACAGAAGAGGAGACAGAAAAGGAGACAGAAAAAGAGACAGAAAAGGGAGAGAAAGGAGAGAGAAAGGGGAGAGATGAGGGGAGAGAAAGGGGAGAGAATGGGCGTAGAAAAGGGGACAGAAAAGGAGATAGAAAAGAGACAGAAACAGAGACAGAAAGGGGATAGAAGAGGGGATAGAAGGGGGATAGAAAAGGAGATAGAAAAGGGGTAGAGGAGACAGAAACAGAGACAGAAACAGAGACAGAAACAGAGACAGAGACAGAAACAGAGACAGACACAGAGACAGAAAAAGAGACAGAAAGGGGATAGAAGGGGGATAGAGAAGGAGACAGAGAAGGGGAACAGAAGGAGACAGAAAAGGAGACAGAAAAGGAGACAGAAAATGAGACAGACAGAAAAGGAGACTCCTCCTCCTCCTCCCCCTCCTACTACAGCAGCATCAGCAACAGCAGCAGCAGCAGCAGCAGCCTCCGCCGCCGCCGCCGCCGCAGCAGCAGCCGCAGCACCAGCAGCACCAGCAGCAGCAGCATCAGCAGCAGCAGCAGCAGCAGCAGGTTCAGCTCTCCCTCTGCTCACTTGCATCTATGTCTGTGTGCCCCTGTCCAGGACCTGAACTCCACCAGCCCCGCAGCACAGCGGCCGTCTTCATTGAGCCCATCACAGCGCCACTTACCCTCTACCTCTGGGGGCCTCACCGCCCGCAGCCGGCCCCCGCAGCGGGGGCACCGCACCAGCAGCTGCGACGAGGGGCCCCCAAGGGGGCCCCCACCACTGAATGCATCGTCTCCGTATAGAGAGGAATCAACGCATGATAAAGAATAAGGAATAGCTGCTGATGCGGCTGCTGCTGCTGATGCTGCTGCTGCTGCTGCTGCTGTTGCTGCAGATGGAGGCGGTGGGGGTGGGGGTGGGGGGGGTGGGCCTCCTGCTCCTCCTCCTGCTGCTGCTGCTGCTGCTGCTGAGCGAGCTGCACGGCGAGAGGATGCAGAGGAGACACTGAGACTAGCACAGCGGCCGCAGAGACCCAGGGGCCCCAGGGAGGAGCCGGGGGCCCCCGGGGGGCCCCCCGGGGGGCCCCCCGGGGGGGTTTCTCCGCCCCCCTGTATGTTGCAGCTAGACAGCAGCAAGCGACAGAGCCTCACTTTTGCTGCTAGCCGCAGATGCCCTCTACGTACTGAGGGATATCCTCCTGTGTGTCTTCGCTTCAAACGCAAGTGCTGCTGCTGCTGCTGCTGCTGCTGCTGCTGCTGCTGTTGCTGCTGCTGCTGCTGCTGCTGCAAGCGGGAGGAAGGTTGAAGCGCACACTCACTGTCACTCAACGCCCGCCTCAGGGCCTCCAGGCTACCCCCAGCAGCAGCAGAAGCTGCTGCTGCTGCTGCTGCAGCAACAGCGTCTGCTGCTGCTGCAGTGCTGCTGACAGACGGAGCCAGGCGACGCAGAAAACAACGTAGCCTGCCGGGCGGTCCGTCCCCGCTGCTGCTGAAGCTGCTGCTGCAGCTGCTGCTCTCGCTGCTGCGCCTTCCCAGTCTTGGCTGGTGTTGCTGCAGCTGCAGCAGCAACTGCTGCTGGTGCTGCTGCTGTTGCTCGTTTGCTGTTGGTGTAGGTGCATCCGCCGCCGCAGGCAGCGCAGCAGCAAAAGGCCCTGCAGCAGCAGCAAGAGGTGCTGCTGCTGTTGGTGTTGCTGCTGCTGCTGTTGCTGCTGCTTGAGCGCGAGGGGGGCCCCCGCACCTC